CGTGCACACCCCTCCGCACAGCCCCAGGAGCGGGCGTGTGCGCGTGCACACCCCTGCGCACAGCCCCAGGAGCCGGCGTGCGCGTGCACACCCCTGCGCACAGCCCCAGGAGACGGCGTGCGCGTGCACACCCCTCCGCACAGCCCCAGGAGCCGGCGTGCGCGTGCACACCCCTGCGCACAGCCCCAGGAGACGGCGTGCGCGTGCACACCCCTCCGCACAGCCCAAGGAGCCGGCGTGCGCGTGTGTTAACCCCTCCGCACAGCCCCAGGAGCCGGCGTGCGCGTGCACACCCCTCCGCACAGCCCCAGGAGCGGGCTGCGCGTGCAAACCCCTCCGCACAGCCCCAGGAGCGGGCTGCGCGTGCACACCCCTGCGCACAGCCCCAGGAGCCGGCGTGCGCGTGCAAACCCCTCCACACAGCCCCAGGAGCCAGCGTGCACGTGCAAACCCCTCCGCACAGCCCCAGGAGCGGGCGTGTACGTGCACACCCCTCTGTACAGCCCCAGGAGCGGGCGTGTGCGCGTGCAAACCCCTCCGCACAGCCCCAGGAGCGGGCGTGTGCGCGTGCAAACCCCTGCGCACAACCCCAGGAGCCGGCGTGCGCGTGCACACCCCTGCGCACAGCCCCAGGAGCCGGTGTGCGCGTGCAAACCCCTGCGCAGAGCCCCAGGAGCGGGCGTGCGCGTGCAAGCCCATCCACACAGCCCCAGGAGCCGGTGTGCGCGTGCAAACCCCTCCGCACAGCCCCAGGAGCCGGCGTGCGCGTGCAAACCCCTGCGCAGAGCCCCAGGAGCGGGCGTGTGCGCGTGCAAACCCCTGCGCACAGCCCCAGGAACAGGTGTGTGCGCGTGCAAACCCCTCCGCACAGCCCCAGGAGCCGGCGTGCACGTGCAAACCCCTGCGCACAGCTCCAGGAGCGGGCGTGTGCACGTGCAAGCCCCTGCGCACAGCCCCAGGAACAGGCGTGTGCGCGTGCACACCCCTCCGCACAGCCCCAGGAGTGGGCGTGCGTGTGCAAACCCCTCCGCACAGCCCCAGGAGCCGGCGTGCACGTGCAAACCCCTGCGCACAGCCCCAGGAGCGGTCGTGTGCGCGTGCGCGTGCAAGCCCCTGCGCACAGCCCCAGGAACAGGTGTGTGCGCGTGCACACCCCTCCGCACAGCCCCAGGAGCCGGCGTGTGCGCGTGCAAACACCCACGCACAGCCCCAGGAGCCGGCGTGCGCGTGCACACCCCTCCACACAGCCCCAGGAGCCGGCGTGCGCGTGTGTTAACCCCTCCGCACGGCTAGGCGGCCCTGGGGCGGCCGGCATTGGCGGAGCCACACTCCAGGCGGCGCCGCGCCGGTGTCGGCCCAGCGGGGCCGCGGGGCCTCCAGGAGGGTCTGTGCGCTGTAGTGCCCCCGTCCCCGCCCCCCGTGGTCCCGGCGACTCAGGAGACGCGGATCTGAGAGTCACGGCTCCCACGCAGCCCGGGAGGACAAAGCCCAGACACTCTGATCTCCAAGGAACCCACAGAAAGCCAGACGTGGAGGGGGGCTGGCTCGAGTGTAAGGCCCCGAGTTCACGCTCTAGGCCTACAGTGTGCACCTTCCTGTACAATATAAATTACATAACGACAGACTGTAAACAACATATACCACAAATTACCTAGACACATACAAACACACAACACAAACACGTAAACACACACCTGCATCTGTATTTATATATGGATGCAATACGTATGACTACATGCACACGCATAACACAGGTAGACATACGTGTACCCGTAGTGTGTGTGTGTGTGTGTGCGTGCGCGCGGGTGCTGGGGTTTGAACCCAGGACCCGGTGCTGTCCTTGAGCTCTTTGTTTAATTCCAGGCTGGTGCTCTACCACTGTGCCACACTTCCACTCCTGGCTTTTGCTGGTCCACCGGAGCCCAGCGTCTCTGGGACTCCCCCCCTTGGCCCCCTCTCCCGGGACTGGCTCTGAACCGCGGCTCAGCTCTCCGCCTCCTGAGCGGCTGCGGGGACAGCCTGGGCCCTGGACAGGACTCTCTTCTAAATGATGAACTAAGAGGTCAGGAGGAGGCGTGGCTTGGGCTGGGTGGAGGCGTGGCTTGCGAGGAGGTGTGGCCTAGGGCAGGTGTGGCCTGGGGCAGAGGCGTGGCCTGGGGCAGAGGCGTGGCTTGGGCTGGGTAGGCTAGGGTGGGGGCGTGGCTTGGGGCAGAGGCATGGCTGGGGCTGGGTAGGCTGGGGTGGGGGCGTGGCCTGGGTGGAGGTGTGGCCTGGGGCAGAGGCGTGGCCTGGGGCAGAGGCGCGGCTTGGACTGGGTAGGCTGGGGTGGGGGCGTGGCCTGGTTGGAGGTGTGGCCTGGGGCAGAGGCGTGGCTTGGGCTGGGTAGGCTGGGGTGGGGGCGTGGCCTGGGTGGAGGTGTGGCCTGGGGCAGAGGCTTGGCTTGGGCCAGATGGGTTGGGGCTGGGGCAGAGGCGTGGCCTGGGGTGGAGGCGTTCCCCAGGCCGGTGGGTTGAGGTGGAGGTGTGGTGGGGTAGAAGTGTGGCCTGGGTGGAGGTGTGGCTTGGGCCGGGTGGGCTGGGGAGGAGGCATGGCCTGGGGTGGAGGTGTGGCCTGGGTGGAGGCGTGGCCTGGGCGGAGGCGTGGCTTGGGCTGGGTAAGCTGGGGTGTGGGCGTGGCCTAAATGGAGGTGTGGCCTGGGGGCGTGGCCTGGGCGGGGCGGGACCTGGGGAGGAGGCGTGGCCCGGGGTGCCAGGGGAGGGGGCGGGGCCTGGGCGGGGCGGGGCCGCCTGACCTGCTCGTAGAACTCATTGACGATGCCCTGCGTCCACTGCAGGTGGAGCTCTTTGCACTTGGCCGGCCCGTTGATGTCGGCCAGCTTGATGCACATCTGGCACACCAGCAGCCGGTCGTTCTCGTCGGTCCAATCGATCCCCACGTCGTTGTTCACCTGCGGGGTCAGAGGGAGGGGTCACGCTGCAGCTCAGCCCACGCGGGAGCGAGGCGGGCAGGAGACCTCCACGGGACAATCGTCCTCGTCCTACCGCCGGCAGGCCGGGCGCCCACTCCCGCCGGCCACCCCAGCTGCTCAGGAGGCTGAGAGCGGAGGATCGGGGTTCAAGGCCAGCCCGGGCAGGAAAGTCCATGAGACTCTGATCTCCCAGGAACCACCAGAAAACCAGCAGTGGAGCTGAGGCTCAAGTGTAGAGCCCCAGCCTGGAGTGGAAGAGCTGAGGGACAGCGCCCAGGCCCTGGGTTCAAGACCAAGGACTGACCTCCCTCCCCACCCCTCACCCCCCCCCCCAAAAAAAGAAAAAAGCAAAGTGATGAAGCCAGGCGTTGGCAGCTTACACCTGAGCTCCTAGCCCTGGGCAAGAACACTGAGTCCCGACACCAGGCCTGGAGTTCAAATCTTAGGTAGGGGCAAAAAAAAAAAGAAAAAAAGAAAAACCAAAGGGAACAAAAACCAACCCCAAAATGACCACTCAGTGAAACACTAAACCACAGGCAAGAATAACTGAAGGTTTAGGACAGATAACAAATGCTGTATCTAAAACGATGACAGGAGAATCCCAAGCTGACAGCGTGGATCGATCTCTAGTCACAGAGGATCAACGTCCCAGCAAGATTGCTCTCCCAAACACAAGGTGACATCGAGCATCCATGTCTAGCAAGACAACCTAGCTACAAATATCCAGTTTCAAAGAAACTCCTAATAGTGCTTAGCCTCTATTATTATTGTTGCTGTTGTTATTGTTTTTCCTTTACAAAATCAAGCATAACACACACACACACACACACACTCAAACACACCACTTCAACATCTTAGATGCTCAGATTCACACCACGGCCTGTAGATTTCCCTTCCTGTGAGACATTTGATCTCATTTCAATTCCCTACTTGACTTAGGAGAGTGGATGACTATGGAGCATTTCTTTTTATGGGGGGGAGGGGTTTTCCAGGATGTCTTTCCATGGGCTTCTAGAAGGAAGATGGGTGAGGATCTCGTTACCTTGGCGTTAAACTTGGCTACGAAGTCGAAGTGCTTCTTCAGGTCAGTGGCCAAAATGGCTTCGATGACAAGGAAGCGGAAGTGTTTGAATTCCACGTGATCCAGGTTGGCCAGGAAGTTGTACTCGGGCCGGGACATGAAAAGACTCCAGGCAGCCGCAGCATGGTGGTTCTCCAGCACCGACCGGTCGTTGTACAGCACCGCCTGGACCAGGGAACAGAGTTTCAAGGTGAAAAGACAATCACACAAATCCTTGGGAACGGGCAAGGCTCCTGAGAGTTTTCTCTCTCCCCAGTGACCCAAGACATGGAATCTTGTGACTCATCGGTGGTTGAGCCAACAGCTCACGCCTGTAATCTCAGCTGCTCAGGAGGCTGAAATGTTAAGGATTGAGGTTCAATGCCAGCCCCGGTAGAAAACAAAAGAATCCGCTGGAATCTTAATTAACTAGCAAAAATGCTGGGCAGTGGAGGTGTGGCTCGAGTGGTCGAGCACCAGCCTGGGGTGAGAAAGCTCAGAGACAGCGCCCAGGCCCTGAGTTCAAGCCCCACCACTGACACAAAAAAAGAAAAAGAAAATCGAGATACATGTAGGATAACCTGGATGGTCAATTAGGAAAATGAACTGGAATTCTCTGCAGGATACATGGGGAGGGGGAAGGGATAGAGGGAGTATTTCTGGGGAAAGTGGGATATTCTATTGTTTTAGCTTTAAGTAGTTATACAAGGGAGCTGCCATAAGAAGAAGTCGTCTCCATCCTTGTCTCTCCTTTCCACATTCTCACCGCCCTCCTTCCCCTCATCTCTCATCGTTTTGTAGAATATATGCATTGGGTTTGACGACCACAGCATCCTGCCCTATTTCGCTTCCTTTATCTGCAATCGGGATCCTTCTTTCTTTATCTAGAGAGTTCAGGAAAATTCTACGACACAGAAGAGAAATGTGGAAACACAGAAGAGTGTGACAAAGGATAAAAAGCAAAGAAGATGGTAACAGGGAGCCGGAAGGGCCTCTGCTTTCTCAGGGGAGGAGGAACTCTCCAGAGGTGCCCGGACTTTGTCCAGCTGTTTGATCACAGAGGTTCTGACGAGAACTTCCCTGGAGTGGGTGCAAATGCATCCACTCACTTTAGTCACTTTACATTCTGACTTCAGTATACACTAAAGCCATTTAAAAAGCAACAAAGAGCGACTCAGTGGTTTTGGAATCTATGTCGGAAGTCATATTCTGGGTAAAAAAAAAATTTCCCTCCCTAAATGAATGAAATAAATTGATATAAAGTTTCTCTCAACCTGGGGGGGGGGTTAAAATAGAAGAGGTGACACTGATGAAAATGTATTGCCCGCATCAACTGACAAGCTGAACTGAAACTCAGTTGTTCTTAAGAAGACAGAAGACAGATAGGTAGATAGACTAGAGCTAGCTAGCTAGCTAGACAGACAAATAGACAGATAGGTCAGTAGATAGATAGATCGACAGGTAGATAGATGGACTGGATAGATAGACTGAGAGACAGATAGGAAGGTAGACAGACTATATATAGATAGACAGGTAGACAGGTAGATGCACAGACTGAGGTAGACAGACAGACAGGTAGACTAGATAGACAGGTAGATAGACAAGTAGATACACAGACAGGCAGATAGAGTAGACAGACAGACAGACAGATAGACAGACAGGTAGATAGATGGACTAGATAGATACAGACAGGTAGATAGGTAGATAAGACTATATAAACAGGAAGACAGACAGACAGGTAGATACACAGAGAGAAGGTAGGTAGATAGACACACAGATGGGTAAGACAGACAGGTAAGTAGATAGACGGACAAGTAGATACACAGACAGGTAGATAGAGTAGAGGGAGGGAGGGAGGGAGGGATAGATAGATGGATAGATAGATGGATAGATAGACAGACAGACAGACTGACAGACTGGCTAGGTAGGTAGATAAACTAGATGGATGGGAAGACAGACAGTTATGTAGGGATATACAGATATAAAATAACTGTGGAACGATAACCACGTTGCTATTTGAAGGATGGTAACTTGCTGTGGAAATGCTGATATTTTCCCCCAAAGTAGAACTTGTGTTTAGAGCATCTTTGCACTCTGTCTGGATTCGAACTTGCTGCCTTGCTCTTGACCGGGGCTAGGCCACTTGAAACCCAGGACCGGGCTCCCGTTTTTGGGGCTCGCGATTCTTCTGTCCGGGCACACAGCGGGTCTCAGCTTGGGTCCGAGGCCGGCTCTGGACTGTGATTCCCGACCGCAGGGGGCGACCCTGCCCCACAACTCCGCTGCCCACGCTGGCCTTGAATTGTGATCCACTGCATCCGCGGGGCTGGGGTGCCGGGCGGAACTTCGCGCCCGGCCTGG